CTCCCCCTCCCTCCTTAAGAGAGGGCAGGGAACTCTGCCCTGTGGGAAGTCCAAGCTCCCCCCCCCCATCCAAGCCTAGGAAGCTTTGCATCCAAATAGACTAGGGTCCCAAAAAGCCAGTAAGTGCAGTAGAAACAAGTCCCAGTGCCTTTATCAATCGCTTCTCAGTTTGTAAAGGTAGAAACTTCATCTTTCCTGCTCCAAATGGGCTGCTGTGGGTCCATTCGCAGTCCAGGAATCCAGTCCTAACTCTGCACATCCGAACTTGCCTTTGGAGCTGCCGTGTTAGAGCTGTTTCGGCAATGCTTTCTTCTGTCTCTTTTTTGAAAGCCCCTTTCTCCGCAGTGAGATCTTTGGTTTTAAGACGTGTGTTGCTCTTAATGATGAGACTCCTTGGAGTGGATGGATGGACTTCCTGATGATCTTTCCTTCACCAGTGTGGACTAAAGGTGTCCTTCACCAGGGAGGACAAAGTAGAAGGACATGGTGGGAATATGGGCATCATGGATGATCATGTTCTTTAGAAAAGTCACCAGGGAGAGACTAGAGAGGTGAATTTCAGGCCCTGATTAAGGGACCCTTACATGCCCGTAGAGTCGTGAGACGTTATGTCACTGTGGGCTTCCAGGACAGCAAAGATGAAACAGAATCCGCCAGAAGACAGCTTCCATTAAAGTCTTAGTGTCAGCTTAGCTGGACTAGCTCCTAGGAACGTTTTCCAACTCTGTGTGCCATTAGCCTGCCCTGGCCAGCGAAGACCTAACGTTACATAAATATTTGGACCAAGGCAACAGCCCTGACTTAGGCCTTTCAAAGAAGATCCCTAATTAAAAACAGCAAGCTGAGGAAGGCAAATTGAATTTTTGGAAGGGGTCAGCAGATCTATTAAAGCTACATTAGCCATGCCCTGGTCTTTGGCTTCATGAAGCGCTAGTGTCTTGGAGGCAAACACCTGAGTATTTTTTTTATGACTGTAGACTTTCTCCTGGACTGGATGGCAGAGGCCCTGTTTCAAGGCTGTGACATGACCTGTGCCGAATCCCTCTCTCTTTCAGATTAGGAACCTTTTCTCTTGCTGGCAGCTTTTGCTGACCATAGGAGACATTCCTTCCCAACCTTTGTCTCCTTGAATAACACTACTGTTCCCAAGTGGAGGCAGATTAGCGAGTATATTCTCCTTTGCCCTGCCTATGTATTTTTTTCTTCTCTTCCACCAAGTGCTGTGTCCTGTCAGTTTTGTTTTGTAGACTCCAGAACTTGATGCTTTCTCTTTTCAGTGCCTCCAGCACATCCATTTCGCGTCCCCGCTTTACCCTGGTGCTGTACACCCCTTTCTCATGTACGTCACCTTTCCCTGTGGAGATCTTCCAATTTTCCCTCAGTGGAACCCATATTTTACTACTGGTTTTCAAGTTTTCAAAAACCATAAGCTGTTTTTACTTATGGATCTGGTGTCCAAGGAGCATGGTGAGGGCCGTGTACAGTGTCATGGACTGCTCTCGGAAGGCTGAGTCTGAGTGGGTCTAAGTTACGGTCACAAGCACACTTGTCAAGCAAGACCCTTTACTTGTAGGCATGTCCAACCTGCAGCCTGTTGGCTGCACACAATTCAAGTCAGCTATGAGTGGCTCTGATACCAACACTGAGATTTTTTTCCCTTGTAACTCAGTTCCATGGTTCTTGAGCATAAACTTTGTAGGCGACAGTGTCAGGTTGTAATGGGAACTCAGTTCATTATAGTCTTGCCAACAGAATAAAATCCTAGCCCTCCTGCTGCCCACCTCGGATAATCCTCTGCTGAGAGCTCCCTTTCTCATTCTGTTTAATCAGCTGTGCTGCTCTTGTTGAGGACCTGGGTTCAGTTCACAGCTTTCAGTGAAGGCAGCGCACAACTGCCTGACGTTCTAGCTCCAGGCTATCCATGCCTTCTTCTGGCTCCCAAGGGGACCTGTGCACTTGTGGCACATACACATATTCTTAAAATTAAAAACAGATCTTTACTCCTCTGGCCCTCCTTCATATTTTTTCTCTGAGGAATGGATTTGATATACTTTGTTGTTAGAACTGAAAGAAAGTCATGAGCCCAACCAGTGTAGACCATCGATGGAGCGATAGTTCTGGATGATGCTGTGCAGGTAACTATGAGAAGAGGGCAGAGATGGGAGAAGAAGCTGTGTGTCAGGAAACGGAGCATGTTTAACTTGAAAAGGTCTTCCCCAGCCAGTTTCTTTCCACACTGATAGCCCCGAAACCCCATCCTGGAAAGTGTAATGATATCTGCAAGATATAAGGTGCTTAATTATGGGGAGATAATTATATCCTCTTGAGTGTCAGTGTCCAAACATAAATAATGGGCTCTCCTAAAACAGCACGGCGCTAGAGCATAAAGTGAAACTCACAGTCTCTGTAAGAGCTGATCTCTGTCTCCCTTGGATCAAATGTGGAGAAGAGGAACGCGCTCTCTGGGTGGGCAGCTAAGTTTAGGATGGACGGATGTAGGCTACAAGCCCTGCAGCAACTGATTTATCAAGAACGTCATGGTCGAGACTGTAGACATGTTTATATTGTGCAAGTAAATTGCTTTTTAGTGTCTCTCTCTCTCTTTTCCCGTGTGTGTGTGTGTGTGTGTGTGTGTGTGTGTGTGTGTGAGAGAGAGAGAGAGAGAGAGAGAGAGAGAGCATGAGAAGGAGACAAAAGATGAAATCTGAGTGTTTAATAGAGAAAAGGGAATTAGGCTTCATGAAATGATGCTGTAGGTTTTCTTTTATAAAACTAGATTTCTAAGCTCAAGTTTTTGAAGCCCTTCCAGAGGTCCCCAGAATGTGCTTTTCTTCTTCTCAATGTGCTTCCTGTTTTGCCTTCAGTCAGCTCATCATTCTGGAAAGGGCAGATTAAAAATAAGTCCCGATGGCGCAGGGCTGGGCACAGGCTAATACTGTCTTGTGCTCCTTCCAGGTGCAATGTGATCTTGGGCATCTCCCTTCCTGGCCAGCACTCTGCCTCCTCTATCCATCATGGTGTTTGGTGAGTTTTTCCATCGCCCTGGACAAGACGAGGAACTTGTCAACCTGAACGTGGGGGGCTTTAAGCAGTCTGTGGACCAGAGTACCCTCCTGCGGTTCCCTCACACGAGGCTGGGGAAGCTGCTGACCTGCCATTCTGAGGAGGCCATCCTGGAGCTGTGTGATGACTACAGCGTGGCCGACAAAGAGTACTATTTTGATCGGAACCCCTCCCTGTTCAGATACGTCTTGAACTTTTACTACACGGGGAAGCTGCACGTCATGGAGGAGCTGTGCGTGTTCTCCTTCTGCCAGGAGATCGAGTACTGGGGTATCAACGAGCTCTTCATTGACTTCTGCTGCAGCAGCCGGTACCAGGAGCGGAAGGAAGAAAGCCATGACAAGGACTGGGACCAGAAAAGCAACGATGTGAGCACGGACTCCTCCTTCGAAGAATCCTCTCTCTTTGAGAAAGAGCTGGAGAAGTTTGACGAGCTGAGGTTTGGCCAGCTCCGAAAGAAAATCTGGATTCGAATGGAAAACCCAGCTTATTGCCTGTCCGCCAAGCTAATCGCCATCTCCTCCTTAAGTGTGGTGCTGGCGTCTATCGTGGCCATGTGCGTGCACAGCATGTCCGAATTCCAGAATGAGGACGGAGAAGTGGATGACCCTGTGCTGGAGGGAGTGGAGATTGCATGCATTGCCTGGTTCACTGGTGAGCTGGCCATCCGGCTGGTCGCTGCCCCTTCTCAAAAGAAGTTCTGGAAAAACCCTCTGAACATCATCGACTTCGTGTCCATTATTCCCTTCTATGCTACGTTGGCTGTGGACACCAAGGAAGAAGAGAGTGAGGACATTGAGAACATGGGCAAGGTGGTCCAAATCCTCCGACTCATGAGGATTTTTCGAATTCTGAAGCTTGCCCGGCATTCGGTAGGGCTTCGGTCTCTTGGGGCCACGCTGAGGCACAGTTACCATGAGGTGGGGCTACTGCTTCTCTTCCTTTCGGTGGGTATCTCCATCTTCTCCGTGCTCATCTACTCTGTGGAGAAGGATGAACTCGCATCCAGTCTCACCAGCATCCCTATCTGCTGGTGGTGGGCTACTATCAGTATGACCACGGTGGGCTATGGAGACACCCATCCGATCACCTTAGCCGGGAAGATCATTGCAAGCACGTGTATTATCTGCGGCATCTTGGTGGTGGCCCTTCCCATCACCATCATCTTCAACAAGTTTTCCAAGTACTACCAGAAGCAGAAGGACATGGATGTGGACCAGTGCAGTGAGGACCCACCGGGAAAGTGCCCCGAGCTACCTTACTTTAACATCAGGGACGTTTATGCACAGCAAGTCCATGCCTTCATTACCAGTCTGTCTTCCATTGGCATCGTGGTCAGCGAGCCTGACTCCACAGACGCTTCTAGCATCGAAGACAATGAGGATGTTTACAATACCGCATCCCTGGAGAACTCTACCGCAAAGTGAGCAGGGGCATTTGCACCGATATCTTGTGTCCCTTCCTGACATTAGGTTAACACAGCTTTATAAACCTTAATGGGTTTGTTCAAATAAATCATTTAATTCTCAGGGTGTACCTTTTAGCCATAGTTGGACATTCATTGCTGAATTCTGAACTGATAGAAATTATCTTTATTTTTCTCAAGTGAGGTCAATTAAATGCCTTGTTCTGAAATTTATTTTTTACAAGAGAGAGTTGTAATATGTTTTTTTTGGGGAAAAGAGTAAATGATATTGGGAAGGATTTATTGCTTCGGCTTATGCATCATTCTGTACTTACCATTCACTCACATTGAGCTAACTCTAAATTACTGACGATAGAGCAGAGGCCCAGCTGACTGAAGACGACATGCATGTAAGATCTACAACATGAGACAATGCATGTAAATCCATGTTCATGTTCCAGACATGGGAATTGGGAGCTCAATAAACTTCTAATTCAGTATGGAGAATGCTGTGTTTGTATGTTTTTATGTCAAGTAAATATATTCTATTATCCCATAAATATCGGAATAAAATATTCTATTATCCCAGTAAATATCGGAAGGTGTCTCAGGGTTTCTATGGCTGGGAAAGACACAACCATGACCATGGTTGTCTTAAAAAGGAAAACATTTAATTGGGTATGGCTTACAGTTCAGAGATTTAGGTCCAGAATCATCATGGCGAGAAGCATGGCGGCATGCAGGCAGACGTGGTGATGGAGAAGGAGCTGAGAGTTCTATATCTTGATCTGCAGGCAGAAGGAGGCTAAGGCACACTGGCAAGACCTGAGCTTCTTTGATCTTAAAGCCCACTCCTGTAGTAGCCCACTTCCTTTAACAAAGCCACGCCCACTCCAGCAAGGCCACACCTCCCACTCCCTGTGAGCCTATGGGGCCATTTTCATTCTGACCACCACAGAAGGGAAATGCTCCTGTTGCGACATCAAGAATGTTTTCATGGCAGCTGAGATGATAGCTCAGTAATGTGCTCTCATGGGGACCTGGGTTCTAGCCTCAGAACCTACTGTTAAAAAAAAAAAAGTCAGGCATGGTATTACGTGTGTGATTGCAGAGTTAGGCTCATTGACTGGGCAGCCTAGCTTACTTGAGGAACCACAGAACGGTGAAAGACCTTGTGTCAAAAAGGCAGATGGCATTGAAGAATGAAACTCCAGATTGTCCTCTGACTTTTACATACATATGTACCCATGTGCACCCCCCACACGTGTATCTGCATGTGCGTGTGTGCTTTGTTTTGAATATACCCAATGATATGCTAGTTTTTTGTTCCAGATGCTTGTGTTAGGCAGGTAGAAAAACGCATTAATAATCAAATTGTTCTGCCACATGTACAGTAATTAAAATGATTAAACACGTAGGTGTTGAGCTATATAAATGAACGATATACCTTATCTAGGTGTATTTCCAGTGCAGTTTGAATTCCATAATAATTTGTATTTTCAGGATAAAACTTGAAAATTAGAGGGACCTGGGAGAAGGGAGGAGTACACAACCACACAGATGGGCATCATCATGCAGAGTAGTGAGCGCCGGATCTCTAAGGCAGGGGTGCCCGCAGCCATAAAATGAGCCAGCATTTTCAAAGGGCCATAGACCGCTTTTATACGGAAGTTCCACACAACAAAAGGAGGCTCACTAATCATTGCCAGACCAATATAGCATAGTTCCATCCCACGCAGAGGGAATGGAACCTCAGACTCCATTTTGGAGATGTAACAAGAAGCTAACTGGTCTTGGCAGGTTGGCTGAAATATTTCGAATGGGGAAGCCACAGGGGTTTATTGGGCAGCATTTTATGCGTGGAGATGCATCTCATTGAAAGCCTATCTATAGTCTGTCAGAACCTATAGAACTCCTGTTCTACTTACTATGTCTGTGACGTCTGAGACAGACATAAAGAAATAGTTTGCTTCGGAACTTGATGTTTATTACACGAGTGTGTTGTCAGAATTCTACTCATTTGGGAAAACCTTTTCAACCAAAATGCATTTTTGATGTCATAAATACAGTTTTATAGCATAAAAGTAGAAGTTGGGATCCTGTTTTATGAAAGATTTTCTGACTAATTGTGAACTAACTAAAGCCTGTTTATATGGCCATTGTTGCAGTAATGGTAGGTGCAGCAGCATCAGCAGCAAAAACAGGAGACCTGAGTGAGTATTTTGCTGAAGTAATCTCATTTTATCTTCTTGCAATTTTGCCAGCACCTAGAGTTTATTTCTGCCTTCGTTTCAAGATGCAGAAGCTGAGGTTGGCTTGGTAAGTTTTTATGGTGGGTAATGTAGTTGGGCTTGGACTCATATTTCAAAGCTGACCTCTGAAATGCCACCCCCCCTTCCCCGGGGTGTGGGGTAGCGCATTTGCGGTAACCACAGAAGGGTCGCTCCGGAAGAGGGAAGAAGAGAAGAGGAGCAGCAAGGGTCCCCAGAGTTTGATTTTTCCAGGGCCCGAGTCAAAGGCGCATCCTGGTCTGTGCACCTTTCCGTTGCTTATCCTGAAACCAGACAGAGTTATTTACAGGCATTTCTAGAATAACTGTGACGCTACAACAGGCCCTGAGGAGCATCGAGTAGGAGACACAGTGAAAAAGACTGGTTCTCCGGGAATTTGAGTAGATTTCAACCTGCAGGAGCCGAGGGGAGGTTCTGAGTCTCTATGAAGTTGAACTGCTCTTGCCTGAGCTCCCGAGGCATCCTGCAGTGGTTACCCCGTGGCCTGAGTGTCTGCTGGACTCCGCTCTGGTCCTCTCTCCAGCTCCCCTGTACTCCCTCCCCTCATTCATTCCCTTCTTCCCACATCACTCAGAGATCTCCCTGTTCCCATAGAGAGAGACAGAGGCCTGTTCTCTCTGGAAGAGTGGACTTGGTGGTTAAACATCCATCTCACAGGATGACCAAGGGCCTGAGCTAGCAGCAAAGGAAACCAGACAAACTCCATGCTGTTTCTGTGTGGATGACCCCGAGATTCATTTGAGCCGATGGTTTCAGGGAGTGTTTGTGACCTTATAACTCACTCAGTGTTTTTTTTTTTTTTTTTAATGTTTGTTTGTTTGTTTGTTCTTACTCTATGAACTCTTTCTGCTTGGTTTGTTTTGTTTTATCATCAGCACTAGGGATGTGAATGGCCATGAAGGGCCCATCTCCTCCCCAGTTCTTCACCCTGGGGGCAGAGAAAAAGAAGGATGAGTAGGGTGAGAGAGGAGGAAGGAGGGAGGGGGCAGCTTCCCGGAGGAGTTGATACACCAGAGCTGTTTGGGGGTGTCTGTCCTGAGCCTGGCTGGGTTCAATTGGCAACCAAACCCTTACTGGTGTCATCAAAGGTCCCTGTTCCCTCTTAGGCTGCCTCCCACTGCATACATGGCTTGCTAATCTCTACCTCCATTTTTCTCTTTCTCCCCTTTTTCTGAACCCCGGTTTTGTGGCAGTATCTTTCACCTTTCGGTGTTCCTACCTCCCACTCCTTTTTGTCTGGTGGAGGATCAGCTGTGCAGCTGTAGGTAGAGCTTTGATTGCTCGGCCTTCTGGTTTTGCTTGCCTTTGTTTTGTCACAACTGTTTGGTCTCTCATGCTATGTACATGCCGGCTCTCCATCTTGTGTTAATTTCCTATTTAACTTGACCTTTTTTGGGGGAGCACTTGCCGTTGTCCCCATCTAACTACGCTAGTCATTGCCTTGGGGCTTAGAGACCTCTGCTGTTATTTTTTTAAGGGTTGATTCACGGCACTGTTAAGCAATGTAGGCCACCATCCAGAAAAGGGTGATTTGTACCTTATGGGATTGTCAATATCTATTATTTCTGATATAGGATAGCAGCAGTTTCAATATGGTTCAATTTAGTGTTGTGAACTTGCCTTCTATTAGAAAAAAAAGTATTTCTTAAGTTCTCAGACAAAGTGTGGCTGCTAGCATAGTGAGCCTGGAGTCTCCTATTTACCCCATGGCTCATAGCTGTGCTATGGTGAAATGAGGAACACTCAGGGCTTGTGTTCTTATCTGGAGGGGAGTTCTTATCTGTGCACTTGATGATTTACATTCTCTCCAAGCTGGCTTTGTTCTTTCCAACTTTGTTTACATTATAGATTTGCATAATAAGAATCAGTTTTAATATTTTTGCTCTTTCATCCGGTGGAGTCCTAGCCCTTGTGGTCTGTCCTCTTTTGTTGGGGCCCTGGGAGTTGGCTACCTTAAGGCTTCAGCTGTCAAATGCATTTGCAGGAGGTTGCCCACCTCTCTGCATCTGGCGGCAGGAGTGACGGCTTCTGGAGTTCTGGGAGCCAGGCTGGGTGAAAGGTTTCGTGAGAAACCATAGGTGCATGACTTTGATTTGCTCTCGCATCACTGGTAGCTTGACCTTGGTTGTTCGCTGCATCTGCTAACTTTGTCCTTCGCAGGCAGAGTGCGAGAGCATCTCGGAGAGTAGGAGAGAGGAGGGCTGAGCTGGGAGAAAAAGGTCTAAGATGGTTAAGCACTGCTTAAGGCCATGGGACTTGACTACTTGGGGCAGCTTGGAGGGGGTCAGAGGTCACACCACTCTTAATTTTATAGTGAGGAAGAGGAATGAATTGCTCAAGATCATGTAGCAACACAAAGACCAAATTCATACTAGAACATAGTCACAGCTCTGGCTCCTGCCTTTTCCCATCCTTTCCTACTTAATACACACACACACACGCACGCACGCACACATACACACACACACTTTAGTTGATTTTTTTTAACTCTTTGGGGGCCCACCACCCAGCTCCCAAATAAATACACTTAGTTTTACTTATGAATGCTCAGTCTTAGCTTGGCTTGTTTCTAGCTAGCTTTTAAAAAAATTATCCCATCTACCTTACGCCTTTGGGCTTTTACCTTTCTCTATTCTATATACCTTTCTTTCCTTCTTACTCTGTGGCTGGTTGTGTGGCTTGATGGTTGGCCCCTGGCGTCCTCCTCTCCTCCTTTTTCACTCCTCCCCTTCTTTCTTCTCCTTGTCCCATTTATTCTTCCTGCCTGCCAGCCCTGCCTATTTCTCTCTCCTGCCTAGCTTTGTCCATTCAGCTCTTTATTAGAAAGAATCAGGTGTTTTAGACAAGTGAAGTAACACAACTTCACAGAGTTAAACAAACGCAAAATAAAGGAATGCAATACATCTTTGCATCATTAAACAAATATTCTACAGCATAAACGAACATAGCACATCTTAAGTTAATATTCCACATAGGTATAAATATATATATATCGTATAAGTGTGTGCATGTTCGTGTGTGTGTGTATGCACATATATTGTATATGTGTTTGGTCTCAAAGTTGACATCCAGTGTCTTTTCAATTATCCTCTGTTTCTTGAGGCAGATGTCTCACTGAACTCAGAACTCACCAGTTCTGAGTTCAGTGGACTAGCCAGATTTCCCCAGGGTCCCTTGTCTTTGCTTCCCAAGTGTAAGATTACAGGTGCCTACCATCCTTTCTCTGCTTATAGAGATCCAGTCTCTAGCCCTCATGATTGTACAGCAAGTGCCTTTTCCA